TGTTGTAAGCCGCCCAGAGTCCCCCGTTGTGGGGAGATGGGCGGGGACAAGTCTATTAAAAATAAAAAATAAAAAAATGTTTTAGGAAAGAAAGAGAGCCAGTTTGGTCCAGGGGGTAAGGCACCAGGCTAGAATCCAGGAGATTGTGAGTTCTAGTCCTGCCTTAGACAGGAAAGCCGGCTGGGTGATTTTGGGCCAGTCACCCTCTCTTAGCCCAAAGGGTGGTTGTTGTGGGGAAAATAGGAGGAGGAAGAAGTATTAGGTACTTTGCTGCCTTGAGTTATTTATAAAAATAATAAAGACGAGATAAAAAAATTTTAAAAAAAGGAAAGGAGACACTTTGTTGATTATATTTGGACAAGGAAATGTTGGGCAGCAGGGTGGGAAGGAAAAGGGAAATGTGACTCTCCCCAGTTGAGTATGTGCTTCTGAAAGTCTAGGAACTGATCAGAAAGAGCTAGGAAAAAAAGCAAGGAAGCAACTGAAAAGATTAAGAGAACTAAATTGTAAAAATAGACAAATATCTAATTTAGCCAAATCACTGCTGAGAAGCACCAGAATTAATTTGGAAGAGGGGAGCTGAGTGTTCCCACTTGAGACTCCTTTTCCTCCATTGGCCCTCAGGGGAGAGAAGGAACGGCCTCGCTCATTTAGAAGTCTGATCCCACTCCTGTTAGAGATGACCCCAAAGTGGGCTCCCTCTGAACTCCCACTCGTGCTCATAAAGTCTCTACACTGTTCGAGGCCAACAAACCCAACTGATTGCCCACTCAAAGGCACGCACTCATTTCACCCTGAATGCCACTTTCAAATGTGGGTGATGCAAGGAGACCACAGATGCTTGCACACTCCAGGAAGTGGGTGGAGGAAAAAAAATGCACACAGATGGGTCTGAGCCCTTCTTTCCCAGTGAGGAATTTCAGAGAAACTCAGATGCTATCTTTTTTAAAAATAGCAAGGGAACCTTCAGACGTCCTGGAACTACAATTCAGTACAGCTCGTGGGGAGGAGCGGGGTCATTCAATACAGTCGTAACAGGAAGGCAATCAATCATTTCTTCCTGCTGAAACTCAGCCAGCTCTGGATTCAACCAGACTTGATTCAGTAAAGAATCTTCTGACCAAAAATGGTTCTGATTCAAAGATCAAGCAATAAAAAAAGTCTTGGACTCAAATTTCTCATAGAAAAGTATCCCATATGGGACATGGCCTTCTGCCAAGCCATCTAGCTCAGAGATTGGCCACTAGCAGTCTCTAAGTGCTGGGGACAACTTCGCCACTGGCCATGTGGGCTGGGATGATGGGAGTGGGAGTTGGAGATCCTCTAAAGCATCTAAAGGCCACTCTGGTCTCCCAGGCCAGAAGCAGCGCTCCCCAACCCCAAAGAGGAGCCCTGGCAGCCTTACCTGGAGGGACTGGGGCTACACCTGGAATCTATCCTTTGCAGATCGGAGGTTTTCTCTGGAGCTGCAGAGGCGTGGAAAAGGCTCCGTGGGTTGAAGTCAGCAGCCCGGGATTACGCAGACTCTGTGCTGGAAGCCAGGCATCTTCCAGTGGCACAGCTGGATCAGGCAATCGGGAAGGATCTTAATTCCGAATCTGGGAGAAACACTGTGAGGCAGAACCGGACGGATTACTGGCAGGGCACGAGCGATCCCACAGGGTGGATTCATTCCCCGCGTCATCTGGGGCCGGCTGAGCCTCAGCCAACGCACCCTCCCAGCGAGGCCCATCGGGTTGGGCTGGGGTGCGGGCTCGCTGCCGCCCAGTTGCCGCGTCGCTCCTGACCACGTGCAGAGGCAAAACCTCTGCGAGGGGGCTCGGTTAAAACTAAGGCGGCCGTAAAAAACCACGTAAAAATTGTGTGTTGGGGGGGGACAGCTCACGAAGCAAAGCAGCTAAGCAGACGCCTTTAAGCGGGCTTGGTTTATTTATGGGAGCGGCTTTTGCTGCCTCAGTGCGGAAGGTTTGCCTCCCTGGCCTCAAGCGGGGCTCCGCAACCTCGGCCCCTTGAAGAGGGGTGGACTTCAACTCCCAGAATTCCCCAGCCAGCTG